TGCAGTCCCGAGATGTTAGTGATTGGCCATCTTGGATCTGTCCTCTCTCTCAGTAACATTTTATAGCTGTTAGTGTAAAGGTTCTGTCCATCTTTGTTAAATTTATTCCAAAATATTTTATGTTTTATAACATGTAAATGAAACTATGTACATATTTACCACTATAAATTATTAGTGATTTTTACATGTTAACATTGTACCCTACTATTTTACTAAATTTACTTATTAGGTCTAATATATGTATTGCAGTTTTCTTTGGATTTCCTATGTAAATGATTATATTAGCTACAGATAGAAAGAATATTACTTCATCCACTTTATTAACTTTCCAGTATTTTTGTTCATTGGATCCTTTCCTCATTTCCAATCTAGGAAAGACAAACTAGAAAAAGTTTTCAGTATTTTCAACCTAGGCAAAGTATTCAGTATTTCACTATTAGGTATAATAATTGCTACAGGGTTTCTGGTGGAGTCCTTTATTAGCTTATAGAAATTTTCATCTATTTTTCATTTCTTGAGACTTTTTTTTTAACATGAAGGGATTTTAAATTTTGTAAAGTTCCTTTTCTGCATCTATTGAAGTGATTACCTGATTTTTCTTATATATTAATACAGTAAGTAACATTAATTAACTTTAGCATAGTGGGATTAAAACTTACCTGATCATGATATATTACTCTTTTTTCTCTTATTGATTCAATTTGCTCATCTTGTTAGGTGTTTTTGCATGTATGTTCATAAGGGATATTAGCCTTATTTGCTTTTAATGTTTTGTCAGATTTTGGCATTATGGTTATGCTGGCTTCATAAAACTAGTTGGGATGATTTTCTTCTACATTTTCTGAAATTATTTATGTAAGATTGGTTTCAGTTCTCTCTTGAATGTCTGATAGAATTTTATTTCCTTTTTTGTTGTCTGATAGAATTAGTAAAACCTTATAGACCTGAAGTTTCTTTATGGTAGAATTTAATAATGATTTAATTTCTTATTAGATATAGGGCTATTCAGATTTTCTGTTTTTTCTTATGTCAGTTTTGGTAAAAAGTATTTTTCAAATAATTTGCTGAATTTTTAAGTTGTTGAATAAGTGATATAAGTTATTACTGATATTCTTTTAATATCATTTAAGTGTCTATAGGGTTGAAAATAATAATCCCTTTTTTATGATTGATATTGATGATTTATGTTTTCTCACCCTTTTCCTTGATCATCCTAGCTGGAGTTTTACTAAGTTTCTGAGTCTTCAAAAAACCCACATTTGTTAATTTTTTAAATTATTTGCCATTTGCTATTTGCTTTATCTCTAAATTTATTTTTCTTTTTTCTATAAATTTTGCATTTACTTTGCTGAACTTTTGGTAGCATCTTAAGGTAATATCAGGGGTCATTGGTCAGAGCAATAACTCTCTCTAAACATTGCTTTCATTCATTCTATCTTGCAAATTTTGATATGTTGTGTTTTCATTAGAATTTAGATCAAAATATTTTCTAATTTTCCTCATTTCTTGTATTTATTTATTATTTAGAGTATATTTATTATCAAATATCATGATATTTCAAAGAATTTTATTATTATTGACTTCAATTTAATTCTATTGAGATCAGAGAACATACTTCATATAAATTTAATTCTTTTTAACTTAGTTTTTTTTAAATTTCTTAAATTTAATTTGTGGCTCAAAACATCACTTGGTGAACAAATGTACTTGGGGAAAAAAATGAGTATGTTGTAGTTAGAGCCTATGTGTCCTAAGCATATCAGTTAGGTTCAGGTGTTTGATAGTTCTATTCAGAACATTTATGTGTTTCATTTTTTCTAATTTCTATGAGAAGGATGTTAAAGTCTCTAGTTACTACTGACATGATAGATTTCTTTCTCTAATTTTGTTAATTCTAAATGTCTTCTTGATGAGATCTTTCATTATTTTATAGGGGGCTTTTTTGTTTTGTCCTTAATAAAAATCTTTGTCTTGAGATCTGTATGAGTCAAGGTCCAGAAATCACACAGAAGTTGAACAGGACAAATTTAATATAAGGAATTGTTCATTAGTAACATGAGACTAATTACTGAGTGGCAAAACAAACTCTACCATGAATGATGAATGACAGATACAGGGAGCAGCCACTACGTGTGGGACTGAAGAACAGTACGTAAGAAAGAAACATATTTTGAACAGGGCCGTAAGCGTGAGACTCAGACCTGGTTGGAAATGTGAGTTTGGCACATTAGGTGGCAGAGAACTTCATGGAGGTGCCACAAACTGCAGCTGGCAGCCCAGCAGTGTCCTGACAAAATTCACTAGAAAACAACTCGCTCAAGTGTTGCTGGAACTCACTAAAAAGACACCTACTGAGACCCCTGAAAGAGTCATTGGAATGTCAACTAGTGCAAATTGTTTAGAAAGCTGCCCATAAAGATGCCACCAATAGTCAATAGAAAACGAGCACCACTGGATGTCCTGTACACACACTGCTGGCCACTCATGCCTAGGAAAAATAAAAGCACACCAAACCAGAAACAAAAGCCCTTTCTTCCTACCGTGTCCCTGCAGCTCCCTCTACTGACAAAACTTGAAAAAGGTGGCACCTGCAGTACCACAAAGCAGGCCAAAGGTGGATGGATTTGGAGTTGGGAAACAATAAAATTGATAATTGGAAGAAGTAGTAGTCTGTTTGCTACAAACTCAGCAAGTCCAGATGTTTATGTTTACTGTTTGCATGGTTATCTTTTTCCATCCACTTACTTTGAAACATTTCTTTTAGACAGCATATTGTTGCTTTGCTTCTTGCTTTTTTAAAAACATCAATTTTGTTAATTTCTGGGTTTTAATTGAAATATTTTGTCCATTCACATTTATTGTAACCATTGTCATGGTTGAATTTAGGTCTACTAGTTTAGCTTGTTTTCTGTTTGTCTCTTCTGTTTTTGCTGCTTTTTTTTAATGCCTAGTTTTTAAAATAATTTTTAGAATTTTATTTATTTTATCTTTCCGTTTTTTGGTTATTTCTCTTTGCATTATTTTCTTTTTCTTTATTTCTTTTAGTGATTGCTCTGGGAATTACAACATACATCCCTAACTTTTCTCTCTAGAGTTAAAAGCATAACACATCATAAAATGTAGAAACCTTGCAACCCCATATACTTTTATCACCCCACACCTTATGTTTTAGTTGCCATGTTATAATAACTGAAAATATTACAGTACTGAGGTAATGCTACAATTTTTGCTTTATTTTAAATAAATTCAGAAAATCAAGTATGTTATGTTTAGCCAGATACTTAAAATTTCCAATGCTTTTTCTTCCTTCCTCAGGACAGATGTTTCTATCTGGTATCATTTTTCCTGAACCTGAAACACTTATTATTTCATGTCATGCAGATCTCTGACAATAAATTCTGTTGGTTTTATTTTATCTTTTTTGTTTAATTGTTATGGGGGTTCTTTTATTTGAGATGGGTGTGCACTCTGTCACCCAGGCTGGAATGCAGTGGTGCAATCCTAGCTCACTGCAGCCTCAGAGTTCTGGGGTCAAGCAGTCCTCCTGCCTTGGCCTGCCAAAGTTCTGGGATTACAGACATGAGCCACTCTGCCTGGCCTATTTTGTTGTAAGATATCTTTATTTTCACCTTCATTCTTGAATGAAAATGTCATTGGATATTTTTATTCTGGGTGCTTTTAGCACTTTAAAGATAATTGCATCACTCTCTGGACTCTATATTTACTGATAAGAAATCAGCAAGATTATGAGTTATTACTGCCCTTTATGTAACATGTCATTTCTTCCTGAGTGCTCTAAAGGTTTCTCTTTATTTTTGGTTTTTAGTAATTTGACTATGATTTCCCTAGGCATGAATTTAGTTCTATCTATCCTGCTTGGAGTTCTCTGAATTCTTGAATTTGTAAATTTGTCTTCTCCAAAGCCTGGGAAATTTTAGCCACTATGCCTTTCAATAATTTTTCTTCCTCATGTCTTTCACCTTCTTCTGAATGTCCAGGAGAACTTTTGTTATTTTCCCATAGTTCCTCGAGTCTCCTCTCACTTCTTCAATAATTTTTTTACTCTCTCCTCTTTAATTTGCGTAATGTCTACAGATGGTTTCCTCCATTATCTTCATTCTGCAGTTAAGCACATCCAGTGCATAGTTATTTTACATATTATACTCTTCAATTTGATCATTTTCATTTTGTTTTTTTTTTATTTTTACAGGATTTTCTGTGTTATTTTTTGCAGACACATCTCATAGGTCCATATTATTTATTTTGTATATTTTCTGTATTTTATGTTTATTTTTTTGAGATAGTTGATGATTTTTTCAAAATCACAGTTGTACTGAAATATAATTCACAGACCATTAAGATTCATTCACCCTTTATAAGGCACACAATTCAATAGTTTTTTAGCATATTCCCTGAGTTGTGCAACCATTATCACTATCAAATTTCACATCACTTTTTAAATAAACTTTTAGGTTCAGGGGTACATGTGTGGGTTTCCTACATAGGTAAACTCATGTCACAGAGGTTTGTTGTATAGATTATTCCATCACTCAGGGGCTACTCTTAGTATTCCATAGTTATTTTTTCTACTCCTCTCCCTCCTCCTACCCTCTACCCTCAGGGAGTCTCCAGTGTCTTTTCCCCTCTTACTATCCATGTGTTCTCATCCTTTAGCTCCCACTTAATTATACCGTGTTTGATTTTCTGTTCATGTGTTGGTTTGCTAAAGATAATGGCCTCCAGCTCCAGCCATATCCCTGCAAAGGACATTATCTGTTCTTTTTTAAGACTGCATAGTATTCTTTGGTGTATATGGACCACATTTTCTTTATCCAGTCTGCCACTGATAGGCATTTAGGTTGATTTCATCTCTTTGCTATTGTGAATAGTGCTGCAATGAACATATGCTTCCATGTGTTTTAATGATATGATGCTTTATATTCTTTTGGGTATATACCCAATAATAAGATTGCTGTGTCAAATTGTAGTTTTGTTTTCAGCTCTTTGAAGAATCACCACACTGCTTTCCATAACGGTTGAACTAATCTACAGTCCCATCAATAGCAGGTAAGCATTTCTTTTTCTCTGCAACCTCAGCAGCATCTGTTAATTTTTGACTTTTTAATAACAGCCATTAAGCCTGTGAGATGGCTATTATTAAAAATAATAAACTTAATAAAAATTTAATAAAGATAAAATATGTTATTTAAAACTTTAATAAAAATAATAAATGTTAAATAGTCACCATCTTACAGTCAGAAGGGCTATAATTAAAAAGATGTGAGATGGTGTCTCATGATGGTTTTTATTTGCATTTCTCTAATGATCAGTGATGTTGAGCTTTTTTAATATGCTTGTTGGCTGTATGTATGTCTTCTTTTAAAAACTGTCTGTTCATGTCCTTTGCCCACTTTTTAATAGGGTTGGTTTTTTCTTGTAAATTTGAGTTTCTTATAGATGCTGGGTATTGGACCTTTGTCAGATGCATAGTTTGCAAACATTTTCTCACATTCTGTAGATTGCTCACACTGTTGATAGTTTCTCTTGCTGTGTAGAAGTTGTTTTCTTTAAAGAGATATGATGATTTGTCAATTTTTGCTTTTGTTGGAACTGCTTTTAGCATCTTTGTCGTGAAACGTTTGCCAGGTCCTATGTCAAAAATGATATCACACATAGTGTCTTCCAGGGTTTTTGTAGTTTTTTGTTTTACATCCTTAATCCATGTTGAGTTTATTTTTCTATATGGCGTAAGGAAGGGGTCCAGTTTCAATCTTGTGCATATGGCTAGCCAGTTATCCCAACACCATTCATTGATTAGGGAGTCCTTTCCACATTGATTTTTGTCAGCTTCATAGAAGATCAGATGGTTGTATGTGTCTAGCCTTATGTCTAAGCTCTCTATTCTGTTCCATTGGTCTTTATGTCTGTTTTTGTACCCGTACAATGCTGTTCTGTAGCCCTGTAGTATAAAGTCAGGTAGCATGATGCCTCCTGCTTTGCTTTTTTTTTTTTTTTTTTTTTTTTTCTCTTTTTACTTAGGATTGCATTGGCTATTTGAGCTCTTTGTTTGGCTCTATATGAAACTAGAATAGTTTTTTCCTAGCTCTGTGAAGAATGTCTTTGGTAGAAATTGCATTGAATCTGTATATTGCTTTGGGCAGTGTATCCATTTTAATGATATTGTTTCTTCCTATTTATGAGCATGGAATGTTTTTCCATTTGTTTGTGTCATTTTGGATATCTTTTTCAACAGTGTTTTGTAAATCTCATTGTAGAGATCTTTCACCTCCCTGGTTAGTTGTATTCCTAGGTATTTTACTTTTTTATGACAATTGTGAAAGGGATTACATTCCTAATTTGGCTGTTCTCTTGGCTGTTGTTTGTATATAGAAATGCTAGTAATTTTTATACATAGATTTTTATCCTGAAACGTTGAAATTGTTTATCAACTTAAGAAGCTTTGGGGCCAAGACTATGCAGTTTTCTAGATAAAGGATCATGTCTACAAACAGGGATAGTTTGACTTCCTACTTGGATGCCTTTATCTCTTTCACTTGCCTAATTGTTCTGGCCAGGACTTCCAATACTATGTTAAATAGGAGTGAAGAAAGAGGACATCCTTGTCGTGTGCAGGTGTTCAAAGGAATGTTTCCAACTTTTGCCCATTTAGTATGTTGGCTGTAGGTTTGTCATAGATGGCTTGTATTAGTTTGAAGTCTGTTCTTTCAATACCTAGTTGGTTGAGAGTTTTTAACATGAAGGGATGTTGAATTTTATTGAAAGCCTTTTCTGTATCTATTGAAATTATCATGTAATTTTTGTCTTTAGCTCTCTATATGTGATGAATCACATTTACTGATTTGTGTAGGTTTAACCAACCTTGCATCCCAATGATAAAATCTACTTGATCATGATCGATTAGCTTTTTGATGGACTGCTGGAGTAAGTGTGCTAGTATTTTGTTGAAGATTTTTACATTAATATTCATCAAGTGTATTGGCCTGAAGTATTATTGTTGCTGAGTGTCTGCCATGTGTGGGTATTGGGATGGTGCTGGCCTCACAGAATGAGTTGGACAGGAGTTCCACCTCCTCAGTAGTTTGGAATAGTTTAAGAAGGAATGGTACCAGTTCTTCTTTATACATCTGGTAGAATTCAGCTGTGAATCCTTCTGGTCCTGGACTTTTTCTGGCTTTTTTTAAATTACTGATTCAGTTTTGGAACTCGTTATTGGTATGTTTAGGGATTCAGTTTCTTCCTGTTTCAGTCTTCAGAGGGTGTATATGTTCTGGAATTTATCTGTTTCTTCTAGATTTTCTACTTTGAGCCTATATTGATATTCATAATAGCCTCTGATGGTTTTTGTATTTATGTGGGGTCAGTGGTTATATGTAGGGTCTAGCCCTATAGGGTCCTTTGAGCCCCTCTCTACTGGTGCAGAGATGAGAAATTGTAGAAATAAAAGACACAGAGATAAAAAAAAAAAAAAGAGAGTTTGGGCCTCTGCCAACCCCCTCTGGGGGTTCACTGTCAACCAAAGCATGGAGTCTGGCAGTGTCCCCAAATGCCTGGACACTCTGACTTTTATTGAGTTTCAGATCTGGGGGCAGGGTAGGTAGGCCATGGCCTTGGTGGTCGGCAACTGGGGGCAGGGTAGATAGGGCATGGCGGTGATAGGGTCAAGTACATCACGTGTCATACAGGTAGGGACTCAGGAATCTCTAGTAGATGAGGTAAGGAGTGTAATGCATCAGCACTTTTCCATACTTGTTGAGAAAGAACAAAGACATTAAGATTTATATTACTTTTACTGATTATCTCTTCTAAGAAACAAGGAAACAGGTGCAGAAGAGGAACATGAGAGTGGACATGAAATGTGACCAATGAAGCACAGCAACACCTAGAGACATTTAAGTCCCTGGATGTCTGCAGGCATACCTGACAGCGTCAGGCCTACTGCAAGAGCTTGGAGGAACAGAGTTTTCTCCTAACTCCTCTGGGGAGGAAGACGTCTCAGTTATCTTGGACACCTCCTTCCCTAGCTTGCTAAACAGTGGGCGCTTTCCCAGCACTGGCACTGCCGCACAGCCAAGGTGCCCTCCTGCAGCCCTTGCTCAGGTGTGACAGAGGGCTTAAAGCATCTTGCCTTAGGGCCATTCATTTCACAATGTCACCCCAAGTTCATACTTTCAACCTGAGAGGCATTAGTAAAAGAATTAAGATCACTTATGAATAATTAAGATCAAGTATTAATAACTAATAACTACTACAGTTATATTTCTAGTCACTTTCTTCTTCATTATTTATATGGAAATAGGCTGAGGCTTCTGACTCCTGCTTTGGCACTGATGGGATTTCCCCCCTACAGTAATATACGCTTTGTTACTTTTAACTGTGTATATTTGGATCTTCTCTCTTCTCTTTCTTATTAGTCTATCCAGCTTTATATGTCTCATTAATATTTCTAAAGACAAACTCCTGGATTCATTGATATTTTGAATTTCTTAAGTGTGTCTCAGTCTCCTTCAGTTCACCTCTGATTTGGGGGATAATTTTGTTTTCCGCTAGCTTTGGGGTTGGTTTGCATTTGCTTCTCTACTTCTTCTAGTTTTGATATTAAGTTGTTAGTTTGAGATTTTTCTAACTTTTTGATGTGGGCATTTAGTGCTATAAATGTCCCTCTTTACACTGCCTTAGCTGCATCGCAGAGATTCTGGCATGTTGTATCTTTTTTCTTATTCATTTCAAAGAACTTCTTAATTGCTGCCTTTGTTTCATTATTTACCCAAAAGTCATTGAGGAGCAATTTGTTTAACTTTTATATAATTGTATGGTTTTGAGCAATTTTCTTAGTCTTGAATTCTGTTTCCATTTCACTGCAGACTAAGAGTGGTTGGTATGATTTCAGTCCTTCTGCATTTGCTAAGGGTTGTTTTATGTCTAATTGTGAGGTCAGTTTTAGAGAGTATTTGGCATGTGGCAATGCAAAGAATGTATACTCAGTTGTTTGGGGGTAAAGAGGCCTGTAGATATGTATCAGGTCCATTTGGTCTAGTATTGAGTTCAAAGCCTGAATATTTTTGTTAATTTTCTGCCTCAGTGATCTGTCTAATACTGTCAGCAGGGGTATTGAAGTCTCCCACTATTATTGTATGGGAGTCTAAGTCTCTTTGAAAGTCATTAGGAACTTGCTTTATGAACTTAGGTGCCTCTCTGTTAGGTGCATATATATTTAGAATAGTTCTTCTTCATGTTGAATTGAATCCTTTACATTATGTACTGCCCTTTGAAATTTTTTTTTAATCTTTGTCAATTTAAAGTCTATTTTGTCTGAAATTAGAATTGCAACCCCTGTTTTTTTCTGTTTTCCATTTGCTTGGTAGATTTTTCTCTACCCTTTTATTTTGAGTCCATGGTTGTCATTTTTGAGCCCATGGGTGTCATACGAGATCAGTCTCTTGAAGACAGCATCCCATTGGCTCTTGCTTCTTTATCCAGTTTGCTACTCTGTGCCTTTTAATTGGGACATTAGCCTACTTACTTTCAAGGTGGATTTGATCCTGCCATTGTGTTGTTCACTGGTTATTATGCTGACTTATTTAGGTAGTTGCTTTATAGTGTCACTGGTCTATGTACTTCAGTGTGTTTTTGTAGTGACTGGTAATGATCTTTCCACTTTTACTGCTTGTTTCAGGATCTCTTATAACGCAGGTCTGATGGTAATGAATTCCCTCAGTATTTGCTTCTCTGATAAGGCTCTTACTTTTCCCTCACTTATGAAGCTTAGTTTAGCCAGATATGAAATTCCAGGTTGGAATTTCTTTTCTTTAAGAATGTTGGAGCCTGGGTATAAGTGGCTTATGCCTGTATTTCCAGCATTTTGGGAGTCTTAGACAGATGATCAGTTGTGGCCAGGAGTTCAAGACTGGCCTGAGCAACATACTGAAACCTTGTCTCTACAAAAACAATATAAAAATTAGCCAGGTGTGGTGGCAAGTGCCTAGAACCCTAGCTAGTAAGGAGACCGAGGCATGAAAGTCACTTTAGCCTGGGAGGTGAAGGTTGCA